TTCTTTGTCTTCTTGGAGGCGACTCTTGAAGAGTGATCTCTTTCTTTTGTTGTTTAGGATTAATGCGAGATATCACGATGTAATTATAAGCTGGATCAATCTGTTGTAATTTGTTCTCTTTCTTTTTAATAAAATTATCTTAACAGCGGGGGCCTCCCCTGTTGTGTTCTCTTCAAAAAAAAATTTAGAGAAAAATCTTTAAATGATATCAATTTTTATGTCATAATGTGTACCCCATCTAGTGTTACCAAAAAAAAATCTCTACATTTAGTTTGTTGCCAAATTTTAGTAAGTATATATAAAATCTTGCCAAAACTTGGTAAGGTTGAAAATGGTAGCAAAGTGAACAAGCCCTTAATTTTTTATAGACAACTTTTTGAAAATAAAAATGTGCTCAGTTGAACATCATACTTATGATACCAAACATGTGGGTTGCACCGAGAAATCTTAGTAGTGAAACAACCATGAGGTGGCCTTACCAATATAGTGCATCAATTCCATATGGGAATTAAAAACCATGTTCATTTATTTCTTTTTGGTAACACTTCCTATGCTACATTGTAAATTCCTAACATTTAGCGTAGAATAATCTAGAAATGTCTGATTATTATATGACCCCTATTTTAATATTTCTTACTCAATTGAAGAGAGATAATTTAGAACATATGACTTTACCCCCATGTCAGGTTGTAGGCTCAAGCTGCATATATTTTTGAGAAAATTCCCTATATACCCCTGACAATTTACTCAATCCCTTCAATATCCCTGAATTTGACATCATCCCTTATATACCCCTGAGTTTTCATTTTGATCTCCTCTATACCCATCTCCGTTAGTTGACAATTAGTTGACCGTTAAATATTTTAAAATGACTATATTACCCATCCTATACATATGTGGTACCTACCCAATAAATTTTCATATGAAAAAATTAACTTATACAAAATACAAGCAATATAATCATTTAATGCCCAACTTAAAAAATAAAACTTATTATTTTTTATTTTTAAAAAATTATGATTAAATCCATACATTAGTTTCACCAGAAAATTAAGAGCAAAAACTAAATGTTATTTAGGTTTAAATTTTTGGGAAGATATACAAAATTCATGAAATTTGATCTTAAATTTATTTAAAAATTTTAAATTTGTTTTCTAATTTGTGATAAACTAATTACATCCCATTTTTTTCACAATGAATCTTTTTTCACTAAATATTTGTTGAAAAGTAATTTTCAAATTTTATGCAGAACTTTTTTTACAATAAATCTTTTTTATTTTAATGAAATAATGTTTTATTTTTAAAAATTCATAAAAAATATTTAGTAATTTATTCCTTATTGGTTTTCACAATTCAAATAATTTACACATAAAACATTTCTAGCTTTTAACAATATACCAAGGACAATAAAGTAATTTCCACAATAACTAACGGTCAAACTAATGGTCAATTAACGGAATGGGTATGTAAGGGATCCAAATAAAAACTCAAGGGTATATAAGAGATTAAACAAATTACAGGGGCGTAGAAGGGATTGGGTGAAATTACATGGGTATGTAGGGAATTGGCCCTATATTTTTAACCCAAACTGCAGAAATCAAATCATTTCAAAGATGTATGATAGAGTGGAATTCTCCAAAAAAAATTTGAAAAAATGGACATGAAAAGAATTCAAATATATGTAGTTGTTTTAAAAAAATGTTGGGTTTAAAACCCATTCTAATTAGAAATATTCAAATATTTTAGCAGGACTAGTAGAATGAAAATATCTAAAATTTCGACTACAATCTAACAAAAAAATGGAATTTTTGGGCAAATGTTTTGGAGTAAGATATCCCCGTGGGGAGTCGAAATACCCAAAATCTTCTCATAGGAACTATATCTATTGTTTCAACATAATATTATCTCATAAATTGAAAACTGTACGGTTTTGAGTTATTTCAGTTTAGAATTTATGTGCCTCAAGGGTAATTAGAAGAAAATCATAACCAACGTTCAAAGCACATTAAATAAGTTAAATTTTAATTTAGTATAGTAAAATAATATTTTAATACAAAGTCACCCGTGCATGGACATTTTTCATAAAATTTCACACATAAAATTAGGTGCATGCGCATGTGCGCGGACTACCTTCCTAGTTTATCTTAATACTGTGATACTAAAAACAATGGTTTGAACTAGTTTTCTCGTCTATGACAATTTTTTTTTCATATGTTCAATCCTAATTTAAAGTGCCAACTAGTATAAAGATATATGGTGTGTTAAAGGCATCCTCATTGTATCTTTACTAAATGGGTAGTAAGATGGGACCCATAAAACTAGGTAGTAGTTATTTTAGTTCTCAGAATGTATAGGTAGTAAGTTGGGTCTTATGTTTAATAGAAGTGGATGGGTGAAGAAGAGAGAGAGAATGAGAGAGGAGAGAGTTTTGATATTTGTTTATTGCGTGTTGCCTCTCCCGTAGCCTCTCCCCGTTGCTCCAATCCACCCCTACTGCTTGAATACGCTGCCACCTTCACCATAGCTCGCCACCTTACCATCCGCACCGCCCTCAACGCAGCTCACTGCCGCCACCAAGAACTAGCTAGGGTTCAAGAGGAGAGGAGAGGAGATAAGGGGAGTGAGAGTGTAATGCATAGGTCTTGTTGGAACCAGACCTAGTCAGGTTATAAAGGATGGCTCCATGGGCAAACTTGTCTTTTATGAAAGTATCTCTATCTTTTTTCATCGGAAATAATAAAATAAGATGTTTGGTGTCTAGAAGCTAATTACCATGTTTTTGTGGTCTCCACGAAAAGATATGTGTTCTTTCGGTGTCCCACAGTCCACAACAAAGACCACAAACTTTCAGTGTCATGTGGCAAATTTTGCCTAGCAAAACGATAGGGTTACAGTAAAATGGTCTCAAACAAAAAAAAAATGGTAATTATATAGAATCAATTTTGCCTACTAGTGTAAATGACAGGGTTAGAGTAAAATGGTCCTAAACAAAAAAAGGCTAACTTTAGAGGCTATAGATTGACATTTAAAATATAGTCCAAGAAAAAAATTGACGTAACAGTCCAAACAAAAATATATATTTTATTTTTAAAAAAAAATCTATTTTACTCCCTGGAACTATTTCTCTGGAGCATTTAACCCCTAAAATATATTTTGGCTCATTTACATCCTCAACTATGAAAAGCGATTCACTTTACATCATAATGGTTACATCCTCAACTATTGAAAATGGTTCACTTTACATCATAATGGGTTTCTATTTTTTCTCTATATAGGTTGGATTTCGCATTGAAATTTGATATAACTGATATATGCATTACAACTTATTTCTCATCATTTCTAAAATTTGTATCACTGTTTAGATAGGTTGGAAGCACTTAAGTCTAATTTAAATAATGATATTTTAAAGTTAAAAACAGTCAAGAAAATATTAAATATTTTAGAACTTTAATAGTGGTGTCATATATACCTTACTAATTTTTAACTTGAATTACGACTTGTGTAACGAGAAAAGAAAAAGAGAAATACTATGAAGCAAGAAAATGAACCTTTTTAATAGTTTGGGGTAAAATGAGGAAAAAAAAGGTTTAGTTAGTTAAGTGATCCAATACAATAATTTGAGGGAATAAAATGAACTTTTATTATTATTATTACACCATATGCTACCACTATATATAGTTTTATATAAATGTACACAAGTTAGAGTTGTAGCAAAATGTTGAAAAAAAAGGCCGTTACAATTTTATGAAAAATGTCTCAAAAAACTTTTGTTTGCATTTATTTATCAAAATAATTCAAAATGTACATATATTGTATTTTTTAACAGACTCATTGTGCAGCATGGAGGGATGAATCCAGCGTGGGTGCCAAAGGATTCAAGCCGGGAGAGCAAGAAGAGCCGGGGGGGGGTGATCAAGCTAATGGCCTGTTCTAAAGTGCGGTCAAAAACGGCTTATTAGCAGCACATAAAATGTGAAACAGTATTAGTTTATGATTAATTTAGAATTAATGAATAAAAACTTGAAAAGAATGGATTTAATAGATTTTTGAAAACAATTCACACGAAACGCATTGTTCGACAGTTTGGAAAATAAAGTAGCTAAACTAAAATGTTTAGAACATACCCTAAAAATGTAGCCTAACAGCAGATACAATAGTAGACTATAAGCCTTCTATAAACATATTTCGAGAAGATAAAAAGGGAGAGGGAAGAGCAACGGGCTACAGATTTATAAGCCAGCTACAACATGAACTCCAATATGCAATATATGTATGACAGATGTGACCATGTATTAATAGTGTAGTATATGTGTTTATAGGTAAACATGGTATGAATTGACTATAATAATTTCAAGCTAGTTGTGGGTTATAGTATTAAACTTGCACTAAAAGGGAGTGGCCACTAGGGGCGGCTAATGGGCGGGTGAAACCCCCCCCCCCCCAATCCCCCTATACACTACTGTCTTACTTCCTCCTCTCTTTCTTCTCTTTCTACTACACCATAAATTTTTAAAAAGTAAAAAACACAAAGTTGAATAACTTTATGTATAGAAATACTATAATAAAAAATTTGAATTCAAATTCAAAATTGAAACGGGTATGTAAACTTTTGACTTATAAACTTTAGGTCTATAAACTAATATTTGAATTTAAATTCAAATTTGAATCGGGTATGTAAACTTTTGACTTGTAAACTTTGGGTCTATAAACTTTAGATGCATAAAAATACTATATATAAAAAATATTTGAATTCAACAAATTTGAATCGAATATAATTCAAATTCAAATTTGAATCGGGTATGTAAACTTTTGACTTATAAACTTTGGGTCTATAAACTTTAGATGTATAGAAATACTATATATATATATATAATATTTGAATTCAAATTCAAATTTGAATCAGATATATAAACTTTTGATTTATAAACTTTAGATGTGTAAACTTGAGGTGTACGAACTTTAGGTGCATAAATTTACTAAAATAGAAAAATAATGTTATACAAAAAGGGAAAACAGGTGGAGGGAAGAGGGGACCGAATCCTGATCGCCCCTGGCGATAGGGGCGATCAATCGCCAGGTAGCAATCTCGGTGGCGACTTGCCGCGCCTAGCGCACGGTAAAACAATTGCTGTGGTGCAGGAGATTATGGTTCAGAGATCGGATCCCTATTCTTTTCTTACTATAAATAAACTCGTTCAGCTTGATCTCAAAAATCTCTCTCTCCCTGTCTTAATTTAATAAACTGAAAGGGCGATCCAAACAACCACACAACTGTTTTTGAGCCAGTCAACCAGTTTACTAGTAGGTCATCATCATCCACCATTAATTATGTTCAACAAGATGATTATTAATGTCACATCTCTGAGAACATACTCTACTAAAACCCTACAATTTTCATGTACAAGACCCCTTCTATCTTGAACTGTTCAACAGATTGAAGGGGCCAATGAATGAACTAATCAATGAACAAAAGAATCTCCTATCTCACTAATCCAACAAAGAATCATTTACACGTTTTCACGCCTCATAGATGGTATCAAGGGCGGGCCTCCACTGTGTGGACCGACGACAATGGGCCTGGGCCTGGGCCTGGACCTGGGTACCCATCTCGTCTTCCTCCGCGGCGCTCATGTCCACTACGACCTCCGGGAAGATCCTCTTGCCGCCGGGCTGCTTGCTCCGCCCTTTCTTGCGGCCGCCGCCGGAGACGATGAGGCGGCCGATGGCCTCCACCTCCCGGTCACCGAGCCTCGCGCCGGCCCGGCTCGCGGGGACGAGGAGGTACACCTCGCCGGCGCGGAGCGGCTCGTCGGCCGCCATCGCCCGCACCCGCCGCTCCTTCGCCGCGTCCGCGGCGCGCGCGACCACGTGCCCGGGCGCCTCGATCATCAGCTCGGCCGCTCCGGTGGCCGCCTCCTCCACGCACACCGGACGCCCATCCGGCCCGATCACCAGAGGCCTCCTCGCGGCGCCGCCGCCACAGACGCACCGCAACGCCAGCGAGTTGCCCATCGAAATCGGCGATAATGCGCGGTGACTCTCACTCACTCACTGAGATCTTGGTTGCTGATGGATCGGATGCTTAGCTTGCTTTGCTTGGGTTTGGCTGTGGCGCTGCTCGATTTATAGTGGGGGAGGCGACCATGCGGGGAGGAGGAAGGCGGCGGGAAGGGAGGCGGGCATGGTCCGAATCGGACTCGGATAAGCGCGAGGCCGACACGTGTTCGGAGTAGTGGGAGTGTAGAGTGTGGAGTGTGTGTTCGGTCCGAGTCCGACTTTGACTGACTCGGCTTATTAGTTTGGACGGCGCATTGGCAGTAAAAAAGTAATCATTCGTGGGTTGATTAGTGCTAGTTTAGGTGGGAGATTTGAACGCATAACGAGTCAGAGCTTTATCTGTTCGGGCGTGTGTGTGTTGAGCGTTTCTAATAGTATTGTTTTTTGTGCATAAAATCACGCGATAAGTGTGGTTAGCGCGCAAGACATTCTTTGATTTCGACAAAGTGTATTTTTTAAGGGAAATGAGCGTTTCTAATTGATATACTCCCTCTGTCTCAAAATATAAGCGTTTTTAGTTATAAATCTGGACAACTGTGCATCTAGATTTATAGCCAAAAGTGACTATATTTTGGGACGGAGGTAGTTAAGAGTGGTAGATCTGGTTTTGAGTTTTGGCATCGGGTTTGTTTCGAAGCTGAAGTCATCTTTCTTGGACAGCTTACCGGACATAATTAAGTTTGTGGTTTTTTTATATACTATAATTGTGCTTCACTAGGTAAAGTTTTCTTAAAATAGTACTACTATTTTTATGTAAAAAAAAGTTATATACAAAGCTATGTGACAATCTCTAATAGCCTCCCAACCCCACTCTCCAAGTTAAATTTTAGCAACTTTAGAAAAAAAAACACTCTAACAAAATGGCCATCCCATTTACCATAAAAATAGCACTTGCCAAACATGGGCTGGAATTTGGCCGGCCGCAAGCACTGGCCATCCATAGGCCCCACCATCTCTTTTCCCCTCTCCCCACCATCCACAGTTCCGTACCATCCCTCCTGCACCCTTCCTCCCTCTGCCGTGCCCGATGCTGCCACGGGGAAGAAAGCATGCCTCGGCTTTGTCGCTGCTATAGCCTCGCCGTTGTCCACCGTTGCTCTCTCGCATCCTCCGCTCGTGCCCGCTGCCACTACCGAGAAGGAGTGAATGCCTCGGCTTCATCACCGTTGGGTCGAGCGCCTCTGCCAGCAAGATGGGAGATGAGGCGGCCAAGCTCCTGACCAATGGCGTTCTCACAAATATATCTCCATCACCACGAGCAATAGCGACCTCAGTTAGCTAATGCGACGAGCGGAGCAAACGCGGCAGGGCGGCGCGACAGCGAAGGAGGGAGGAGTGACGGAGGGAGGCAGGCTTGACAGCGCACAGCTATCGAGGAGGACAAGGCTAGCGTGGAGCGGATCCGCCATCACCTCACGTACACGGATCCGTCGTCGCCTCGCGCGCACGAGCCCACTTCATACACGCACGGATCTACCGTCGCCATCATTTTCCGCCATCCATCATCGCCATCGCCATTCATCAGAGTGTATGGCTTGGGAAAAGGGGGAGAAAGAGGAGGAAGAAGAAGGGGTAGTCAAAGCCCTAAACTTCTTTTGTTCTTCACTCGACACTAATCCAACCACTCTCTTTGTCAAGCACGTATACCCCGCCCCTCATGCTCATTTCCCATCTTGCCATCTGGTAACACCTTCACCACACAACTGTTTTCCGTCCGTCCCATCTCATCAGCCGCTAACTGCTTCTCTCCATCCCCCAATCAAAGATCTGCCATAACGGCATGTTTGGTTGGAGGGAGTTAGTGATAGGAAATAGGAGTTTAGGATATCTGGGAGTTTAAGTCTGTAGGATGGAAGACTCAGGGATTCGAGAGGGTTTGAGATGGGGAATTAAGGGGTCTAATTCCCACCGATCTCTTACCTGGGGGATGCATGTTAATTCGTGAGACTGGGAGGGAATTCGACACGAAAACTAAATAAGGGATGGGGACTAAAAAATATAACTCACATGGCCAATCCCACCATCAACTCTCTCCTTCAAACTCCCATTCCTCTTCACTTCTCTTGCCAAACAGGTCGTAAGAGTAGTCCTCCTACGTCTTGACAAGAGCCACCAATGCCATCATCCCCTCCATTTTCTCTTAACTCCTATCGTGCATATCTATTGGATTGATCTCCAACCCCCAATCCAATTGCCACCATAATTAAGGCTGTGTTCGCTCCAGCGTGTTCCCAACCGGAACAGTGCGTACGGAAAACGGAACGGTCCACTAGCGCGTGATTAATTAAGTATTAGTTTTTTTTCAAAAATGGATCAATATGATTTTTTAAGCAACTTTCGTATGAAATTTTTTTGCAAAAAATACTCTGTTTAGCAGTTTGAAAAGCGTGCGCGTGAAAAACAAGGGAGATGAGTTGGGAAACATGGGGTAAAAACATAGCCTAAGGGCAGGTCTCCTTCATCTCAACAAGAGCCACCAATGCTGCTCTCCCTCCGTTCCCATCTTGCCTTCCACCCTCCATTGATTTGATATTAATGTTGCAAATATATCCATAGGTTGGGTTGAGTACAGGCATCAATTGTGTCTACGGTTGGTTTAATCATAACTAGCATGGTGGCCCGCGCAGATTGCGCGGCTAGAATAACAGCATATATATTTTCACATTTCATTATTAAAATATATTAAATCTCAATATAATTTTAAATTACGTACTAATTTCACTTTCAATTAGTTCTAAATTCCCGCATAGACTCTGAACACTTCTTCGAATATTCCTTATTTTTTTAATTCTCAATTTCTGTTATTTAATAGAAATACATGCGCTCAAAACTCTACTTTTATTTTTTTTTCAATTCCAACTTTCAAGTAGTTCTAAATTTCTATATGGACAATAGACACTTCTTTCAATATTCTTTGTTTTTTATTCCAAATTTCCATTATTTCTAATTGTATTTCTATATGTACTCTAAACTCGCTCATCTCTCAATATTCGTTATTTTTTTACTTCCGAATTTTGGTTATTTCTAAGTTTATTTCTTTATGGACTCTAGCCTCTTATTCTAATATTCCTCTTTTTAGTTTTGAATTTTCGTTATTTCTAAATTGTATTTCTATATGGACTCTAAACTCTACTTTCAATATTCCTTTTTTTTAATCCAAAATTTCAATTATTTCTAAATTATATTCTATATGGACTCTTATACTTTTGTTCCAATATTCCTTTTTTTATTTCGAATTTTTGGTATTTATAAATTTCACTACCTCCGTCCCAAAATACTTGTCGCTTTGAGTTTTTGGTTGTAACTTTTGATCATTCATCTTATTCAAAAAAATTTTGGAATTATTATTTATTTTGTTTCTGACTTGCTTTATTATCAAAAGTACTTTGAGTATGACTTATCCTTTTATATATTTGCACTATTTTTTCAAATAAGACTAATGGTCAAACGTTGCAAGAAAAAAGTCAAAGCGACCACTAATTTAGGTTGGAGGTAGTATTTCTATATGGACTCTAACCTCTATTTTTATTATTTTATTTTTTTAATTCTAAATTTCAATTATTTCTAAATTACATGCGTATATAGACTCTGACCTTCTCTTTTAATATTCCTTATTTTTTTTAATTCCAAAAATTTCCTTTAGTACTATTGTATACCGGTATGGACTCTAGTCTTCTCTTTATATATTCTTTATTTTTAATTCTGAATTTCAGCAATTTTTGGAATTGTATTCCTATATGGACTTTGTTTTATTTATTTTTCTCCGATTAATGTGAGAATTTTTAAGTCATGAGAGCGAACATGGAGGCTTCTTTTTCTATTCCTTTAATAAGTTAATAGATGTTGAAAGTACATCTTTATAAACAAGAGCATGGTAGAGCTTAAATCATCACAAGTCACGCGATTTCAATTCATACAGTTTTCATGTGAAATATGCACTTGCGATATAAGTGACTCGAATCTAAGAGACAACGTGAGTCACCTTACCAGCTTATCTCATCTATATATATCAACATTGCTAGGGAGTTTAGATTGATGTTTTCAACTACATGTTTCAAGATTTATAGAATTGACATGAATCCGAATCCGAGGAGTGCTAATTGGTGCAGACGCGTCAACGACATAAGTTGCGCACACGCGCACCCTGCCGATTTTGTCTCATGCCGCGTCTCACGGTGTACCCAGGAGAGTGGGAATTGATGCTCACCACAATCTTACAAAAATTGCTGTCCCACAAAGTTTCAACTTAAAATATGACACTTTCATCTCAAAATTGCAAAAACTTTTCAATTAAAAAACTAATAGTGTTAATTTCAATTTTAAAATTTTCATCGTCGCATGCCTGAAGAAAGAGGATAGGAAGGGGATGGGGGTGGCCAGAGACGGACATGAATACGGGGATTCCAGGCGCCAGCGAGATGGGTAGGGGAGGCAGATAGGGATAGGATTTAGGCACCAACGCAAACAATATCGATGCGAACGAAGAGAGACGGGGAGATAAGAGAAAAGGCGGTGGTCTCATTGACCGAAGGCCACATTGGTTGCCAAAATAAGTCAAAGGCAAAGACAAAATTTGAATTTTCAAACTTAACTTTGAAGTTGATTTTAAGATATTCTCAATGTAGTTTCTTTCTTAGCGTTAGGTTTAAGTCGCTAAGAACACATATATAAAAACTTTACCTGTAAATTAATTTTTATTTCCTAACAAGTCATTTTGGCTTATTAGGAAATTTGAGTAGTCGATGAGACTGCGAATCTTTTCTCCTTCTAAGTTGCCAACCTTGTGGGCTGGATGGCCGAAACATGCACCGCTGGTGCATATGCATGAAATAGGAATTCGCACAAATCCATCTCCCCTCTACGTGAGACAGAACCTCCGTCCCAAATTATACGACATCATTTAAAAAAATCAAACTCACTAACTTTTAACTAATAATCATGTCTAATTTTAACTAATAATCATACTAATCATATATATGCTAAGTAATATGTATGTTATATCACTAGATTTATATTTTGAAATACTTTTATGTGATACTAATTTTATATTTGTATATTACCTTATAGTTTAGGATATAGTTTAGGATAGAGGGTACTAAATATATTCTGTCGTGGCTTCAGGTTTTAGGGATGGGTGCAGGCCAATCGTTTGTATTCCTTAACCCACGGGAGTTAAAATGGAATTTGTTTAGAGCAAGTTTAATAGTATTGTCAACTACTAGCTACAAATCATCTATAGCTAATCTAATAGCCCATTCATATAATAATCAACTATAAAAATATACTATGTCATTAATATCCGGTTCTATCTCTCATACACACATAACGTCTTGTAGTTCGTGTTGCTGCTGGCTATAAATTTGTAACCCACTTTCTTCTCTCTTTTGTCTTTTCTTTTTGATACGTGGTTATATAGCCAGCTATTGTACTTGCTCTTAGTTTAGTTGAACAGGGCCGGGCTGCAATGGCGGGTCAACGAATAACCGCCATGGCGCCAAACCACGCCCACGGCCCACCCCTTCCGTCTTCTTTCCGCTGCGCTGCATTGTCTGAAACTCTGCACCAGACGAACTCAACATATATTGAATTTACTGAAGCAGCCGCTAGTCGAATCCGTCTTTATTCTAAAATGTTTATTTACAACACAAAAAAATGATCCTCTATCAACAATTCCTGACAAAATTTTCGAGCCTTTGGAGAGGGGGAGAATGAATTGAGGTTAAATAATGAACCCAACGCCGGAATTTGACCGCAATCGTATGGAGCAAAATTTGCCACGAGATTTACAGTTGGATGAATTCCTTCCCACCAGTGACCTTACTTCTATGAGCTCGTTTCGAGCCTGATTTCTTATCCCGTGTCCGCTTCGCTGATACCCTCTTGGACCCGGAGGCTTTTCCAGGTTCCTTTGCTGTATTATCCGGAAGCATCTTTCTGGGTTGCTGGCGCACCAAACGAGGCTGGGGTGGAGGCGGACTTCGTAGTATTTGTTCCCATAGTTCTCTGTGATATGCCTGTTAAGTAAGAAGCGCGTAAAGCAAGTTAAGACTAAAAAACAACAATAAATGCCAGAAAAGATCATGTGTTGGTTTTCCTTTTCTCGCTTATATGTTTAAGGATTTCCAGACTAAAGAACCATTAAAAGTACCTGGACAACGAAGTCACGCCTTTCGCAATCCAGGAACATATCTGCAGTCCAGTTAACTCGTTTCCTTATTTTATCTCTCACTGTGCTAAAGCTCAGCTGATCTCTGGAGGTGAAGCGATCAACTTCATTAAACCAAAGGCACGTGAAGAGGTTGGTGATAGGGATGTGCTCCCGTATAATTACACAGCCCTCAGGGACGTCTGGAGAACACAATATACTGTTATAAGGCAAGCAAGGAAGATTACTACTCATTAGCTAGGGAGAAGCACTTACCACTCGTGATAGGAAGCTTAGCTGAAGAATAATGGGTTAAACCCTCTCTCTTGTAGAATTCTATTTGGTAATCGATTGAAGCATTGTCATACTTTCCACCAACCTTGTTGGCCTCTGCTTCCTCAAAGACATCAAAGCGTCTGTAATGCCTGGAAATAGCGAAGCTAACATTCTTTCTCCACAAGAATCTGTGACATAACAGTGCTATTAGAGAACAGACAATAAATGCCATTGCTCAGATTAAACTTTGACAATTTATGCAACTTAGGTCTTTATACATTAGATGGAGAATCCATAGCAGCCACAACTATTGAATTTACTTCAACGATACCTATTCCCTGAACTATTTGCAGGATGCAATCAATACATTGATGAGAAAATATGATATTTACCTCTCTAATAGCTGATAAGGATCCCTCACTAGTTTAAGTTTCCCATCAATCCAAATTGAATACCGCACATTAGGAAATAGACGATGAAGTAGTAATTTTGGAACCTGTTTGATGAGATGATCGCAAGGTCATATATGATTAAAAATTAACAAATCCACTCACATTAAGCATAGCATCATTTGCCTTTACAAGTAGCATAACTATAGCTTTCAAATCAGGTAAACACTGAAAATGGTAATAAGGCCAAGGGGGGTCTATGGCGTTATTTCAGTTTGTAGAAAAGAGAATAAAAACTTCATATTCAGAGTATCAGCTACAGCCTACGGTCTATCAATTATAATCTGCAGAATGCAATAAAGATTCAAAAGACTTGCACAGACCTCAAGATCAATTAGCATCTGCATAGCTTAACAGCGAGTGCAACTTTAGTAATTACACTGCCAGCGTAAAGGTGCATTTTATTACTGTATAATGTATCATGAAGTCATGTATGATGTATAAGATTATTATTATTCTGAACAGAGGAGCAGCCTCCATCTTTATAAACAGAGATCAATGTTTTTATAAACCAACTACATATTGAATTATCTTAGTTACTCTACAACTTACTATTTACATGGTCCACAAGAAAGTTAACCTGCCCAGTTGTGCCTCTTCATGATAGAATGTGGTGCCTCACAGATATAACTAGAAAATAAAACTTCTAAAATCTGCGTACCTTTCCATTGCGCCTTGCATCTGAATATGGAAGATTGCGGACAACAACCACCCGCCATAGCCCAATTCTTTTAGAATTATCAATTGTTGTAGTGTTCTTTATTGCTGCTTCTGTTTCTTCATCCAGAAACATGAAGAAGCAAACTGTATCCTTTGAAAAAACACTGATGTTTTTTGGTTGTTGCATTATATCATAATTTCCTGAGAGAGCACAAATAAGCAAGTTGAAATGAAATATGCAATTACAATTGACAAGAAAAGATAATATAGTTACCAAAAATAGCAGAAGCAACAACTATCCCCTGGCACTGCCACATCTCAGAAAGATCAGCTCTATCTATATCGAACCCAGTATTGACACCGGGTATCTTCCCTCTCGCAAATCTGAAAAATGCAGTAAAGTTCAGTTACATTGTAAACTATTAAAATGCATTAATATTTGTACTTCTGTAGATAGTTATCATATAGATGTGCAGAAGCTAAAGCAGATGAGCTATGTAAACATACCCACAATGAACCGTCATTGAGTCTTTTATGTCATAAGACTTGTCTCGCTCTTCCAATGATGGATAACCTCCAAACAAAGAACCGTGGTTTGACTCTTTTGAAATCAAATTATCACCAGACAAATAATTTAAGCTTCGAAGGACTGGTGATGCTGATGGTGCACCTGGCATCAATGCCAGGGCCTGCTCAACAGGCACATAACAAACAGGACATGCTACAAATGTACAAAATATTACAGTTAGATTGAAGCACTTCTGTAACTCTGAATTTAATTAGTCAAAATGATAAACTTACGCCGTGGTCCAGTGCGTTTCCTGTCAATAGGTGGAGGAAAAAATGAGAAATTTTCACAAGGGTGGTGCTCCAGTACAATAGATGGCGGGAAGCTCCATGAGAGACCCTGAAGTTTTTTATGACTACTGTCAGAGTCAGACTGTTTTTCTGTCTGTGATGCTGTATTCAAACCATTCCCATTCAAAGAATCTCCCTGGGTTATTGGTCTACCCGAAGATGTCCAAACAGGATTCACAAAGCTCCGGACTTGATCAGAAATTCCAAGCATGGTTTCAATACCAGGTGGTGCATCTTCATCTAGCATAGGCCACGATGAGATTTCATAGTTCAGTATTATAAGAAATATATGAAAGTGAAAGCACAAAAATTAGCCAGAAAAACTATACTTAATGTTAAAGATGGCATCTTACTTTAGTAGGCTTTTGAATAGCACATAAGTTCAATCTTGTTAGTACAACAAAAAGAAAATAGCTTACACTGTTTGACCCATGCAGCATGAGAAAAAAACATATCATGATTACACATTAGATATTCGGTAGAACCACCAATATCAACATGGATAGATTCATGCGACGGATGTACGTTAATTGTTGTAAGCCATGAGTAACGCCATTAGAATAGAAGACAGTTGCCTTGTTTTAATTAGTATTAGAGAGAAATTAGCAATTATACCTTATTGCAGAAAAGGCGGCCATTTTTTATTTCACATATTTGTAACATAGATGGAATAGGCGAATCAAAACTAGAGGCTAAATGCTGTTGACATATAAAATGAGGCACTACTCAACATATTTGAAAGGGCACACATGTCAAGTTATCAAACAGTAATTTGGGAATGGACAGAACACTAACTATTATAGCTTTGTCAAAGATTCCCAACCCATGATGTATGAACAACATGTGAGGGATCTAGTATTGTAGTCCGTCAACATGCCCTAATTAAGATATTGACTGAAATGGCTAGATGCAAACTGAAACAAAGTTTATTATTATTTTAATCATGAAAAAAAATGTGCAGATTGACTGCAGGATAAAATTAAAGGGCTAAGAATCACAAATACATTAATCAGGAAAAATCAAACAAGATGCATAGTAAGAGAAGTAGCAGACTAGTTGCTAACATAAGCATGCATTTGACCAAATGATCAAGCAAATAAAATATTCTAGCAACACCACAATTCTACAATGCCAGTACTAGAAAGGCATCAAATGTTGACAGATTTATCAACACTAATGTCTCTCATTGCGAGGTATGCACTTTCATAAATATCTAAGTCACAGTAAATACACCTACCACCATACATCCCAATAAAATATGAAACACAGTTCCACAGTTCCATAATTAGATAAGTGCCTGTTGTAGCCAAATATAAAACCAAGGACTCAAAACTTGGGTCACTACTCAATACTATTATTTAATGTTTATAATATAGCAATCCATTTTTTATGCATCACAACAGTCAGCTATGATGCAAATTGAAGAATGCAAGTAAACAAGGTCAAGGGGATCAAATGCTTACACAATAAAAAATCATGTTGACTTAAAAAAGGCAATGAGAGCCAACACCAATGTAGGAGTAGTAGATAGTACATCCTGCCTTTTTATTTTGCCATTACTAAAGATGTTGATCGCGATTTCACTTCACTAGAGCATTTGTACTTGTCAACTACACATAATAACACTTCCTAATATCCTATAATAACCATGTAAAATAACTAAAATTCATAAAAGCCAGATGCTTGTACATGTATGATGATGCAAGTTGCATTACATCATTTGAGTGCATAACAAAATATTTGGTCTGATAGTCACACAGGCTAATAAGAAAACATGGAGTAAGATAGGCTGTACCTTTACTGACGAGTGATGAGAAGAGGAAGCAGAAGAGCACGGCAGCGGCGACGAGGAGGAGGAGGAGCATCCGCCGGCGGCGGCTGGTGAGCTTGCAGATCCGGGCGAAGAGGAGGCCTCGGCCTCCAGCGCCCGCCCCTCCGAAGGACATCTTCCCGGCCTTCCTCGCGGCGAGCGGCGGAGACGGCGCCGGCGCCGGCGACTGGCCGTTGGACTGCTGCAAGGATCCATAGCTCCCGGACGACCTGAGCCCCAGCGACGCGACGCCGCTCATGCCGCCGCCGCCTTCGAGGCCACGGCGCCAGCTCTCATCGCCCCCACCCCCCAAGTCTCTGGCTGTGGCGGGCAGCGCGGATCACAGGCCTCACCACCAACCCACCACCACCAACCCCCTCCCCAATGGCCGGTCGATCCAATGCCGCGACTAGCACCAGTACCCCCAACAGTGGAAGCTGCAATCCGTACGGGGGGAAAAAATCTCGTCGCCCCCTGTGGTTTTTGAAATGGAACAGCGCGAATTCGCGGAAGGAAATAGCACCGGTGAGATCCCCCCCAAACCAAAAACGGCCCAAAATCTCGGACCGCGCGATTGGGCAAAGGCAGCACCGACCCGAGACCGAGATCTACCGATTCGGAGCAAAAACTGGGGCACGAATTTGGCGAATGCGGGTGGATCGAGGAGGTGTGCGATTCGAGCGGACGAGAGCCACGTACACACACAGAGCGAGAGAGGATGCGCGTACGGTCGTTCACCGGAGAGGATGCGGCAGGACGCCGGCACAGCCGCTCGCGGTGATGGAGATCGGTGGCGGTGGCGGCGGCGGCGGCGCGGCGGGATTGGGGATTGGAGGGGACGAGACGGGGAGGGAGAGAGAGAGAGAGAGAGATCGTTGGTGTGAGATAAATTTTTGAAATTTTCCGGGGGGGGGGGGTGGTGGTTGCAGAAACCGTGGGTGGGATTGATGAGCTCCGGAAATGGAAAGGGGGAGGAGAGCGCGGCGTGGAGTGCGACGGGGAGGGGGGGAGGAGGTTGGCTGGTTTGCGGTGTGGAGTACTACCAGTAGTACGGCCGTGCACGAGGGGAAGAGGTGAAGAAAGAAGAAGGACTAGGGCAATTACTATAATGCTTAATGTGTTGTCTCTAAAAATATCATGTAGAATTAGATGATAAGGTGGAAGTAATAATTGAGGAAAGAGAATGTGAGCCACCTCTTATGCAAGGGGCAATCTCCACACAAACCCCAAGAAAAATGAGATGAAAGAAAGAGGGGATTGGACAAACAAATAAAATAAAATTATTTGGGTTATAATGATAGGGGTGATGTAGATGTGGTGTATTGTATATATCACCTCTTATCTTACATGGATAAAATTAGACGTGACAACTACCCGTAGTATAAAACTTGCCCTTAGAGGAGATGGCAGTATCAAAATTCGGGCATTATTAGCACTAAGGCCATTCACAACCCAATGACTAGGATGGTGTTCATAGCATTAAATAGACTGTCATCTAGGATGGAAAATGATGTGACGAGTGAATAAATGAGGAAAGAGAAGGAAACCATGTCTTGCATGAGACATTGTTTCTACACAACATCCAAGATATCATGTGAGATAAATAGCATTAAATTTAAGTATGGATAGTGGTGTTTGCATTAAAAGAGTAGTATCTGTTTTGGGTTGGAAATTGCCTAATGCAGTCTGCCAAAATTCTGATTAATGAGTGATGACTGAGCTAATCCACTTGTAATAGTATATAATTATGTGTTCTTCTCATATGGGAGGCAACCATATATATGTAAATCTATATATCTTCCTAATCTACCGTAATAAAACTTGACTATACGTACGACCCTATCTCTTCAATCTGCATACGACGCGTATAAACTTGCATTTAACTAGACCCATATAAATAATACTGTAACAAGCTTTGTGATTGGTTGATTCTGTGCGATTATTTGTGAGTCGGATGGATGTATAGCGATCCTATAAAACTGATTAATCGCCCTAGTCTTGTAATGCTCTTCTTCTCTCTTATGTTCCACTTGTCCGAACCTTGCTCCCTAGCGATCGCAGGTACTGTTTGATAAGTGATAACTGACGAAATTTAGATTGTTTTGGCAAAAAAATAAATTTCGGTTTATTCTTTTTCAGATTGATCAGTTCGTCAATGCAAAATTGATTCGGGGTAGCCGATAAACCGAGCGGCTATTATCGGTTTTTCAAACCTTGCTTTCTGAGGCGCTTAATTCAATCACTGATTTATTTTTATTTTTTTGCAGGGAATTCAATCACTGATTTGCTGTCGTATTCATGTCGTAAAAACAACATCCATGTCGTAAAAAAAGAGCAAACGTATATTACGTATCATAACGAAATTCCAGCACACAAATTGCACTAATTAAATGACTTACTGTCATTTTTTTCCAGATTTATTTATGTGTGAATAAGGCACTTCCCTCAACTCTCAACTTCACATCACATCACATCATATCACATTACATCTAAAACTTTTCTACATACATAAACTTCTAATTTTTTTTCCGAACTACCAACTTTCCTCAAATTTCTTCCAATTTCAGAAAGTAAACACAGTCTAAAAATTATTTTTGTTATTTTCATCGTGTGTGCGAAGCTGACAGTTAGTACTTAACTTTTCCTTTAGAGACAGCCAGACAGGCGTGATTAACCTATCATTACAGCATCAATCACAACATTTGAGCGCCGGTAGGTTGGGCATTGTGGGTCCGCCGAAGTACACACCGCGCCCACCATGAACCCGAACTAGAAAAGTTCACCGATCAGCTAGTCACGTCGCAGTAGCATCTCAACAACCAAAAAAAAAGCAAGTAGAATCAAGTGGAGAATGTTCAACGGAGTACAATTTTTTTACTTCTCATGAAAAATCCATCGTTTTCTGCTCCATTCGTTCCAAAATAAAAAAACCTAGAATTAAATTAGATACTATAAACTATCATATCCGAATTCGTAGTATTAGGTCATATCTAATCTAGTTCTATATTTCTATATTTTAGGATGGATAGAATGCATTGTAAAGTCTCAGAAGCAATGAGTTGAATTTATATGTGATTTCCAAGTATTTTTACAGTTTTATATTATATATATCCCTGATATATTACGGAAATGTATGTTGCACGTACACTATTGCTATTACACAGAAATCATCAGTTCTATGATATATTGCAATTTGGGTCTAATAAGTACATTTTGCTTGGGAGAATAATACACATCTTGTTGAACTAAGACTATTGGAACGGATTGTCCACCCAAGCAAAATATAGAGTAAATTGCGTTGACGGTACTAGAACTTGGCAGATGGGTACGATTAGGTGCAAAAACTTAAAAACCGAGCGTAGTGGTACAATAATTTGGCTAGGTGGGTACGCTCATGGTGCAAAAGTTGCCACGCCATTGTTCCACCTCAGCGAAAGTGCCACATTAGTATTGACCATCTCATTTTACAGAAAATTCCTTAGTAACTTTTATTTTCCAATTACTTCTTCAGATGTATATGTTTTCCCATTGTTTGGTAGAAAGATTGGAAAGATCTAGAGGCCCCGCCGCGCCAAGGCCTCGCCACCGCCGGCCGCGGCGTCGACGGAGCAGCCTGAGGCCACCGAGCAGGCGACCTCGACGTCCTACGGGTTCGGCAACACCGGTGGCACCATGACCAGCGCCGCGTTCGCTGCTGGCTCCTTCCTTCCACATTCGCTGGGCGCAGATTGAGTCTCCGACAACAACGTCAAGTCCCTGTTCCCCGCCTCGTCCACAGCCAGCGGCGCCGCCTCCGCCGGACACGACGAGTACAGGGGATCCCCGCCAGACCTCCTGTCGCGCACGACAAGCAACCAGCAGCCGCAGGAGCTATGCCTCAATCTGGTGAGCTATTTTGGAACTGACGATGTGCCAATTCTCTGTGTTGGCTGTGTTGGCTGATGTCTTTGGAGTAGCTGCCTCTGCAGGGGTTTGGATGTTTTGCAATACATGTCTTTGGAGTAGCTGCCTCCGCCGTCACCGCCGCGTCACCACCAGCACAACCATCTCTCGATCAGCGCCGCGTCACCACCAGCACAACCATCTCTCAATCAGGATCATGTAAAGAAAGATGAAAGGAGATATGTGTATGTCAAGAAATCATATTAGGGGGGTTTCTATAAAATGAGATAGGACTTAGCCGATGCAGCAATTCTGCTAAGGTGGAATAGTAACGTGGCAATTTTAAGTTTACGTGGCAATTTTTGCACCATGAGCGCACCCACCTAGCCAAGTTATTATACCACTACGCTCTGTTTTCAAGTTTTTGCACCTAATCACACCCACCTGCCAAGTTCTTGTACTGTCAACGCAATTTACTCCAAAATATTTGATATTTTGCATTTTGAGTCCAACAAGTACATTTTCAGCTTTTATTTATTGGATTATTGAAACAATTTTTTTACTCTACTCTTGAAAAAAAATTTCTATTGTGTTTCTTAGATCCACTTGTTTTAGATATTCGTTAAATTGATTTTAAAATATTTAATTTATTCTTACATTTCAATTGATAATCTGCGACAACATATATATACTCAACAATCTATCTCAAACAGGACAGTAGTCACATGTTTAAATGGCGTATTTCGGTGTCTCTCTTTCTTCCTGTGTGGCCTCGCTTCAATAGTACTAATACTAACAGTATTATTTGTCTCCTTGTGACAAATGGAGTGGCTTTTTGTTCGAGTTATTATTGTGATCGTTGTCCTAGTGTGATTGTCTTGTACTAATGCCTTCGGAATTTGTATAATTAATTTTCACTTTTTGTTCAAAAGTATGTTTGATCATTTGAAAAATTAGTGCAAATATAAAAACAGAGAAGTTATACTTAAAGTAGTTTTAATAATAAAGCAAATAAAAAAAATAATTTCATAATTTTTTGAATAAGATGAAAAATCAATTTTTTTTTAAAAAACTCAAAGCGATAAATATTTTGGAATGGAGGTAGTAAAAACGAAAAAGATGTTTGGTCTATTCATTTGACTCCACAAGTATAGTATGTTTAAATCTTGGAATTTGGAAGGCAAAGCGGCAGCCAGCAGGTGAGCTTTCTTCTCCAAAAAGGTGATCTTTCTATTCTATCTTTGAGAGAGAAAATTAATTGGTGGTCTTTCTAAACTGTAGTACGTGCCAACAAACTGGTGCACTTTGACGAACAGTCGGTGTACGGTGTTTGCACTTGCGCGTACGAGTATATTTTTGAGATGTACGTACCAGTAGTAGTACTGTACTACTTCTTTTAAAGTGCGTACGCGTATTTAATAACAAAGCTCATTAAAAGTATGGAACACTTCGAGCCTCATCGTTTGGCTTATCTACGAAATATGCCAAAGGTATATTTTCTAACGAAAACTAACTTGTGAATAAAATATTTATATACGTATTCTTAGTAATGTAAAAGCAAAAGTTAAAAAATAAACTCCGATAAAAAAAAATCTTAAAATCAGCTGTAAATTTAAAGTTAAAAATTCAAATTTTAATTGATAAGCATAAGCGAAAAGATGAAGGTGTTCATCAGTTTTCTAAAATAGAGGAAAGATCGATAAGATTGGGCTTTTGCAAATGAGATGTGGAGCAATGGATCAAGGAATAAAAAATTTAGAGAAAATTGCATCCTGAGCCATTTTTATTGACCATTGTTGCATGTTGAACTAGAGGTAGGACATTCTTTTCAGTTTGAACCAGAAATCTTGTTCTTCCTAGTCTTGTTCTTCCTCTAGATCTCCCCCTCTTCTCTTCTCTTCCCTGTTTTGGTTCGAGCTCACCACACTTCCTCAGGTTCCATCTACGTGCTTGACCTACGTCAGCGTCTGAGCTTGAGTGTGTGGTAGTCTCCATCTTAAACTCAACACGGCACACGGCAGAGCTCCAGCTTGAGCTCAAGCACATAGCCAATGAATCACGGTGGCACGGTGGGAAATTCTAACACCATATGTTATCACTCCACACTTATGCTCCACCAACTAGTCAATAGGTCCCATTCTAGCCCAAGTTCGTCCATGGCAGCACTAGCTTAATTGGAGCTAGGGCACTTAATCAAGGCTGCACATTAAATCTTGAGCACGAATGAATGCGGCAGGGGCAGCGAAGACTGACTGGCTGAGTAGAGCTCGAGCATGACTGTACTGGTGGAGCTTAAGCTCTACCTCTACTAAAACCAACTAGCCAGGTATGTGAATCTCAAACTGAAGGTAGAGAGAGTGAGGAAGCAGAGCTGGAAGAAGAACACTAGGTCCTAAGTGTAACATTTTGTAAAAATTACTAGCCCAAAGTGAAAATAATAGCTTGTTCCTAGTCCAAGCTGCGACCATGGTAAAGAAAGCCAGTCCAATATGCAATTAACTCAAAAATTTATTTGGACTCCCTTAACTATGGGCCTGTTCACTTTAATGCCATTTTTAACCTTACCAAATTTTGGTAAAGTTGTCAAAAAAAAGTGGTTACATTTAGTTTGCTACCAAATTTAGATAACTATATAAGAAATCCTGTCAAAATTTTAGCAAGGCAATTTGGTAAGTTTTTTTTTGGCATCAAAATAAACAGACGCTGTATGTCAAATTCACATTTCTCAACTATTAGCTGATGAAGTTGATTTGTCGAATATGAGCTTAAAGTTGCCTCTACCGACCCTCCCAGGATCCCGGATCTGGTCCCACGGCGAAAAAAACATAAAACACTTGATCATCGCTCCTTTCCCACCTCTCCGTCCTTTTCTCGCCGCTCCTCCTTCCCCGCCCCGCCACCTCTCATCTCATCCGCGCCGCCGCACGCCACCGCTCGACGCCGGCGACCCCCGCCCCCCCGAAGCAGCTAGCGCGCCGGCGGCGAGCCTCGGCCAATGCCGACCTCGTAGAGCCATGGCCGCTCCTTAGCTAACTGACCCAACCCTTGGGTTTTCACATCATTGATCGCCCTGTGCCGTGCAGTGCAGTTCGTCGACCTCTTGGGTTGGGGTGGGGGGGGGGGGGGAGATATGGAGAGAGGGGGATTCGGCGGGGCCGGCCGCCATGACGAGGAGGCCCCGGCGATGAGGCCGGCGCCGCAGCAGCGGTACCGCACGGTGGAGTCGCACGACCGCGCCGTCGTCCAGATGGCGCCCATGGAGTTCGGATCTTCCGCCGATGCCTCCGCCTCCGCAGGGCCCAGGTGAGCTTCTTGGTGCGCATTTCACGGACGTTACGTGTTGTGAGGTGGTTTGTGGGGAATTCGGCATTTGTTGATTTAATGATGTGGATTGATTTGCTTGATGTTGCAATATTACTAATATTAGGCCGTACGCTGCAATTGGTTCTCCATGAGTACACTACAGTTTCAACTAGAAATTATTGTTCCATAGGTGCAAGTTGCAAGTGTAGTATAGGTATCCTCTACTTTCGAGTATTCTATAGCATCAACTTTTTTTTTTTTGCCTGAAGAATGTTATTTTGGTTGTCTTTGATGCTGCAATCCAATCAAGGGTGTGTTTAGTTCATGTCGAAATTGGAAGTTTGGTTGAAATTGGAACGATGTGACGGAAAAGTTAGAAGTTTGTGTGTGTAGGAAAGTTTTGATGTGATGGAAAAGTTGGAAGTTTGAAGAAAAAATTTGGATCTAAACTCGGCCCAAGAACAGATATACCTGGTCTAGTGGGTTTTATAATGCCATGGTGGCTTGGTCACAGGGTTACAGTTTCTGGAGCAAATAGCCAAATAGGAAGGTCCATCTATGCGTCTGTGCCCGCCTGAATTGTTGCCCTTCGTTGCTGATAAATGTGTCCACTGCATTGGCTTGTTGATCATAGTACAAAATTGGACCAAATGATCTGGTAATTGAGCTATTGAGTAATCCATCCAAATCCTTGTTGTTCAGCTGGAGTTCTGAATGAAGGAATACATTTTTTGGTCAAGGGAATGAATGAATTCATTGTTGCTGATTTTATGAACACAAGGTCCCAAAATGTTTTTTAAATCCGTCTCGTGATGTTTATAATGACATAGCATCATGACATGGCCACAATGTTAGTAAATTCATTTCCAGTGTCCTGAGTCATGCGTTGCTACTAAATTAAGGTGTTTCAACCTTTTAGGATGATTCCTATAGCTAAGAGCCTTAGAGTTCTGGTTGTTAGAATTCGTTTAGGTGTGTTCTATTGGTTGGACCGTTGGAGTAATGCACCTACATTGTCACACTCGTCAAATCTGAGGTATTATAAGCTTGCTTGTATATGAAAATAATTGGTGGAGCTCTGGATTAATGTTGCAGTAGTTTGGACAGGTCATTATATTGGTTGCTTTGTTTTTTTCTTTTGAGCAAATGGTCTGTTTGGTTAAAGATAGTTCTTAGAATTTAGACACTTTACCTGACATTGAAAAAAAATCCATGGTATGACTCTTTAAATTCATCAGTTGAGCTATTACACAGCTGTAAGTTGTTAGATCTGCTTGTAGTCAAACTTCTAAGCTTTGATCTCAACATATAAAATTGATTTTTTTGGACACACTCAACATATGAAATTACATATAAGAACAAATAGAGGAATTTATTATATATGAAATCCCTATGATGCCTATTAAAATGCCTTATTAATATAGTTATTTCGCTGTGATCCTATATTAATTTGTTGATATGGGAAGAATGGTTGGTATCTAGAAACAAATGAATTATGTAATCAATTTGCCCTCTTTTAAAGTAGTTATTCTATTTCACCATTGAAATGTGATGGTCATAGTTACTGCTTTCCTACATTACTTATCTGGTTATGATTGTATAAATGATTTCTCCAGTGGTGTGAACCGTGCAAAAACTGATTTATTCAATTATCTATATATTAGGTACATCAAGCCTGGAACTAACCTACGCACTGATGCAAGAATGCATATGGCTTCTTCTAATGGGCGTAGCTCTAATGGATCTCAAGGCGATTCAAAACTTGAGCTGTTTGGTTTTGACTCTCTGGTCAATATTTTGGGACTTAAGAGGTATGATGACTTGTTTTATGGCTCTGCTTCTAATTGAAGCTCTTACCCGCATTCAATTTTATGAAATATTGACCATATGCTGCTTTAATAAATAACCGTTAACAACCATGGCATACATGAATCTGAACAGAATGGTAGGCGAACAAGCTCAGGCATCTGCTAGTACTAGGGATGGAGAAAATGCAGGGATTGCCATTGGACACCCCAAGGTTGTTTTCCGTCTGACCTTACAAGTCCAGTTTCTAATTTTAATCATCATTTTGTTCATGCATTCCCTATTTACTAGCCACATAGTCATGCATTGCATGACTTTGATTCCTGTTTAAAAACTCTCTGTATTGGCCATTAAACATGATAATAACGTAAAGGAAATTTCCTAGCAAGTTTTCAATTCCAATTTCTGATATTCAAGCTCACAAACAATGGAGGCTAATGGGGGTAGCGATAGGTCATTTCAATCAGTAGATAAAATTGAGAAATGGTCGTACGCCATAAATTTGAGTAAATTGTTTTGCAGTATTATCTGTTCTTAAAATTGCTTAAAATCAAGTTGTCATGGCTAAATATAGTAGTAGCAATTTTGAGTAGAAGGATTTATAACTTCCCACAGCATGTTATATACTCCCACTATTTCAAAATATAAGAAATTTTGTTTCTGTCCATATTCATATTCGTAGTATTAGGATGTGTCCCATCCAACCAAAAACCCTTGTATTTTGGAATGGAGGGAGTATTTGTTGAAACGACTGTCAGTCCGGAATCCACACTGAACACTCTTCTTTAGAGATAATGTGTAGCTAATGACAATAACCTAGATACACGGTTGTTTCTTCCATCCAGATTTATGTAAACACCATCAGTTCAGTGAGGACTTTTATACATCAATTCACTGCAAAGAGAATATTTGGTAGATTGTTGGATAAAACGAACATAAATTGTAGCTGAAAATTAAGCCAAATGGAACTGAATCACATATAACAAATAATGTAACTCAGTGATACGTTTGATCACATTTTGAAAAGGCTAGCAACATCATAAAACAACAGACCTCATTTTCCGCTTGCTCATTGTAATTCTTCAGGCTATGAATTAGTATCAAATACTCATAGCAAGAGAGATCAAGAAAAAATAATGTTCCTCTCTCAAACCTTGTCCTCTCATCTGACATTTTTTTTCTTGTCTTCCTGCAAACTCCCTTGCTTTTTATAGCTTGCCTGCATAACCGGCTCTTACTCTTGCTGCTGCAGTTCTCTGCACGTGTAAGAAGGGAACAAAAATAGAGGACATATCAGTTTAATCAAGAAGAAATACGTAGTGTCAGGTGATTAGAATTGGCAAGTGCTCTGAGTCTGATATTTGGGTTAATCTCAAAAGTTCCTCAACAAAATAACCAGTATAAAATCAAATCCTAGTGTGCCATCCAAATAAGTATTATGTACTAAGCATTGTACTGAACTATTCAAAAAACTGTACTTAGCAATATTTCTTATGGAATTCTCCATGATATCTTCTATTTTATCAGCTCAAAATGTCATAATCATCGAGTAAACATAAAAGAGATGCTGGGCAACGATATTTAGAACAGGTTTTAGTGACCACCGAATGTGACTATAGTACTTACTGACAACTCAAATAATATATGTGTCATTATCTACACATCACACGCGCGTGCACGGACGAAAAGATATTAGATGTGTCAATGTGCCCATCGCCTACAATAGAAGATAAGGTGAGCACATGATGCAATGTAATCAAATCTAATCGTCACTCTTATAAAGCAAGCAGTCAATTATTGCCATAGATGATGATATGATAATTTGTAGTTATTGAGAACTATAAACAAAATGACTATACATTGTTTTGTGATTGTAATTATGCATTGTTATGTGCTAAATTAAAGATTTATAAGAAGATGATCTATTTGAACTCACTTTCTTTTTTCTTTTCTGAAAACAAAGTTTAGTAATATAAACTTCACGCACAAGAATTTTGAAACCAAAAGAAAAAAAGATGTATCTTGTATTTATAGCAGTAACCAGAAAGCAATAATTCACTACCACACCACCTAGGTAGTTGTAGTAGAAACTTAAGGTATAGCCCATTAGTACCAATCACTAAAATTCGACATTAATTTAATTAAATGATAGGACCAAAGTCGCATATAGAGATGCAAGAGGCATTTTAAACCTTTTCTGTGAGTGGATCAAAATCTCTTGCATGATAAGGAAAATCCTATATATTCATGTCATATATGAAATATAAGTTAACATCATGACAAATTACTGTTTTTTTTTCCTTTGATGTCCCCATTATAGTTTTTCCCTATCCATTCATTGGTATAACTGCACAATTAAACAAATGATTAGTTATATCCATTCTTTTTTTTAGATGATGGAATAAGTTATATCCATTCTATAAATAAGCACATTCAATATACCATCTTAGACTATTTGAGTGAGAGAATCAAGAATTTAAGGAATGGAGGCAACTAAAAAAAGCTAGCTAGCTGAAGCTTACCTGAGATGGAGACATGGTTGGGTTGTTTCTACAGCAAGGAGAAAGGTGAGCTCCGCCGACATGGTTGGTTTATCCATCGCTGCCCAAAAGGAGAGGCTAATGTTAAGAATTCCATTATCAGCTTCAGCTCCGTGTCCGTGGCGTCCTTCCTTCTCTTGTTGACTCTGGAGTCTGTAGATGGCCACCCCGTGGCCTCCTGGCATGTGCATGGTAGCGGCATATCTTTCTCGATGCTTGAAGAGGATGGAGCTTTCCCGCCGCCGCCGCTGCGTGCTTGAGGAGGAATCCGTCGCCGGCCACTCCCTTTGCCATTACTCCGGCACTTAGTCCGCTTCCACCATTGCAGGAGAGTGCAGCACCCTTTGCATCTGTCGCTTCCCCTCCTTCCTCTCCAGTTGTCATCGATTCCACTTCTCCCCAACCTTATTCCAGATTTGAGTGATAGGGGCCAGTGGCTGAATGTGGGAGGAGAGGAGCCGGTGGTCTCCTACTACTTCTCCCCAGCCACCGGGACTGGGACTAGGAGGCGGTGGAGATTGGAAGCGTCGGCAGTGGGGTTGGGGAGAGAGGTGCAGTGGCATGGGTTGAGAAGGACGAGGTGCGTGGGAGGAGAGGTGGCGGCGCGGGCGTAGAGAGGGGAGAATGGAATTAAATTTGAAAATACACTGTTTATTCAATTTTTTCTTATAAATATTCGGGATGTAAAAATTTTTGCGTAAATATACTGCCGATCTCGCACAACCGTTGCGCGAGAATGACGTGGGAATGACGTCATGGACAGTATCACGCGGCGAAGGCGCGAGACCGCACGGTCTCGCGGGACAACGGCGCGAGACCGCGCGGTCTCGCGGAATGGTACAGCGAGACAGAACGATCTCGCACAAGCACTGAGCGAGACCGGTGCCATGCTGATTCAATTAGCGACTAATTATCTTGATTAGCGATTAATTAATTATTAATTAATCCCTAATTAGGATAATTAGTTGCTAATTATTATTAGTTAATTGCTAATTAAGTAATTAAGCACTAATTAAATGGAGCCGCTGGACAGTTTCGCTGTTTGATTCCGCGAGACCGAACGGTCTCGCTCTTCCATTGCGCGAAACCGCGCGCTCTCGTGCCTTCGCTGCGCGAGACCGTGCGTTCTCGCACTTTCAACGCGCGATACCGCCCATGACGTCACACCCACCTCGGTATTTAGTGGGAGTTTACACCCACCAACACCAAAGGAGCTATAGACAGTTCCTTGAAATATATTTTTGTTACATTTTTTTTTTCTCTGGTGTGCAGGAAACTGAAACTAAACTTGATACCATGATGGGTGTATTCGTGCCATGCCTGCAGAACATCTTGGGAATAATCTATTATATTCGCTTTACTTGGTAAATCTTTGCGTCTGTTCTTTCTACATGTGCATAAGACACAAGGTGTTTCCTCCCGTGCTCGGCGTGCCTTCGTTTAGTATAAGTTCCACTTATGCCTTCTGCATTACTGGTTGATTTCTGACACGGAAATATGATTATGTTAGTAGTAATATTAGTGTTTCCATGCAAGCAAGGACCTCGTAATGCAAGTGACTTCTTGGTGAAGCCTTCATGAGTTCATATTGCATTTACACTCTATTTATTTACTACTATATAATCAAGTCTAGACATAGTAATGTAAAACTGCAAATATTGATATCCAGTTCTCCACTGTGGGAATTGGTGTCAATTCTTCCATTTGAGGACCTTGATATATGTTAAATTATTGTTTGGAATTTATTTATTTATTGGATATTTCACATTCTAAAATTTGTATCTCTATTCAAATTGCACCCTTATGCATAATTTGGCAATCTGTTCAAATTATCAACATTCAATTGTTTCTTTTCTGGTTTCTGTAGGATCGTTGGTATGGGAGGCGTATGGCAGTCACTTGTTTTAGTCGCATTTTGTGGTTCATGCACATTTTTAACTACGATATCATTAAGTGCAATTGCGACGAATGGGGCGATGAAGGTATGTTATAATATTTGGCAATACCATGGGAAAGAGATTGCCATTTCTTTGTGAAACAAGAAAAGCAGTGTGAGGCCAAGTGCCCAATATTCATCACCATAATATTTATTTTCGATAATTGGACAAGATGAGATGATGTATAGCATATCCACCAAGAACCACCATATAAATTAACCTTTCCACCTTGCTCAACTACAAATGGACTGACTCATCTTTCTTTTTGACCCTCAGGGTGGTGGCCCTTACTATCTCATTGGCAGGGCACTTGGTCCGGAAGTTGGAGTTAGTATTGGATTGTGTTTCTTCCTTGGGAATGCAGTTGCCGGAGCTATGTAAGTCTCCATTACAATGTGCCAACAGTCTGATGGTGAACTTCCGAAGAGTCATTTTTTTTTCATGTTTCCTTTTGGTCAAAGTTATCTTGGTATTGTAATCTAGTATGGTGACACTGTTTGGAATATGGTACAGGAATTCTATTTCTTGCTATTTAATTATATGGTGTTTAGTGAAACATATTTTGTGGTATGGTAGAAGTGGTGGATTATTAGTGTCGTACCACCTTTTGATATTAGGCAATATTGCAGTTTGGTGTGAAACTTGTATGTTGATATTGTTCTTTAGAGAACTGCATTGGTGATACAAGCCCAATTAAGGATGAAAAGAGGGAAATAAACATACAATATTATGGAATGTGGGAAGTGGCTCTTGTTTCATATGCAACTGTGCTTAATGAGATTTTACACTATACAATTTTCACTGCATCCTTACTTTTTGTTGTGTGTGACGAGCATTTACACACGCTTCACTATTTCTCATTCACTCTCCACGGGATGCATTTTGACCTATTATGTTGTTATAAACCACTATTTTTAGGTATGTGCTGGGAGCTGTCGAAACCTTTTTGGATGCTGTTCCTTCTGCTGAATTTTTTCAAGGTACTTTGTTTGAGAACTGCACTTGCTGCTAGTTTGTTTCTGAACACCAAAATAATAGATCAATAAATTTGCACATTGTTTAGGTCTTTAGGAAACACAGTAGATCCAGATATTTTATGTTGATTGCTGCAAGCCATTCAAGGAACAAAAAACATGTAGCCAGAATTTATGTTTCCAAGCACATGGAAACCATGAGTATATGTTTTCAATGTATACCAAATTTGAATTGCACTTGCACAGATTGATTGGCTGATGATATATTCTAAATGTATTCAATATCTTGAAATTTTTCATGTCTGTAGAATACCCTCTCCTATATTATAAAACTTTAATATTTTTTTAGAGCTTACACACTTGCTTTCCATGGATTTTACACTTAGTTTAGTTTTCACTTGAAATTTATGTTGTTTATCTAGTTAATCAGGTCTTTACCAGTGAAGAGAAAATTTACATTGGATTATATGATTACTCTATCCTTTTTTATTAACTTAATTACAATAAAATGGACTAAGTTGCATAATCTGGCTTATTTCTAGAAATTTCATGGTACAACTGTGCGGAAATTGTGCTCGAGAAAAAAAATGTGTGTAAATTAGATTTTTTTTCATGCCATGGATGATTTTTTCTTTTTTGCAAAATTTAGAATGAAATACAAGCTTGCCTAAAGGCTAATTGGGAGATAGTTTCTTCTAGCAGTACAGACTGAATAATATAGATATTATTGTGGTACATAGGCAACTTCTTCCTTTGGAGTGTTAAGTTAAAATATATTTCTCTCTTTTGTGATGCATATATATGATTTCCGTTTACTGAAATTTAATGTTCATTTCATTTTATTTGAATTAACTTGTAGCGATTTTAAAAAGCAGAGAGTGTAACAGTGGTCACCAATACGTTCGTAAACGGTACCGCAGCAGGCAATGCAACAACTATCTCAACACCCAACTTGCATGACCTCCAGGTCTACGGCATCATCGTGACCATATTGCTTTGTTTTATTGTATTTGGTGGCGTCAAAATTATCAACAAAGTTGCACCTGCTTTCTTAATACCAGTGCTCTTCTCAATCCTGTGCATTTACATCGGTGTCTTTATTGCACCAAGGCCAAATGCTTCAAGTAAATATCCACTTGCCAATAATTCTTTCATAGTTTTCTCTTTTGTTTTTCTTGTGTTGTATTTCTGATGATGTTTTTCCTACCTAGAGTGGATAACTGGTTTGAGTATAACTACATTGAAAGACAACTGGAGTTCAGACTACCAACGAACAAACAATGCTGGAGTTCCTGATCCAAATGGGTCTATATATTGGGATTTTAAGTCTGTCCTCCTTTTGTTGTTGATACTTGTTTTTAAGATCCTCTAATTACTTGCAATTTTCATTTATCGATTTTGTAGATTCAGTATGCACTTGCTAACATTCTTTGTTTTGTTCTTTCAGTGCTTTGTTAGGTCTCTACTTCCCAGCAGTTACAGGAATCATGGCTGGTTCAAATCGGTCTGCTTCACTGAAAGACACACAACGTTCAATACCAATTGGAACATTACATGCTACCATTTCAACTACTATGATGTATCTACTATCTGTGTTTCTGTTCGGAGCATTGTCTACAAGAGAGGGGCTTCTGACTGACAGGTTTGATTTTCTTTGGCAGCACATCATCAAACTTATTGCTTAATCAGTACCGAGTTCTGAAAAAACTAGTTGTTGACTTTATGTTGTCATGGTAATGGAGTTCAGATCTTCCATGGATCAATTTATGTAGACATGTTTGTGTCTAGGATCTTTTGGTAAAATATTGCACTATTTGCATACAAGTAAATGTACTTGCCTTTGATCCAATGTGATTGTATGCATGCAATTGTTTATCTTGGAGTTTTTCTTAATTTAGACTTGTAGAATAATGCATTTAATTTCTAATTTTTTGATATCATGGAGCATTAGTACCTGTGGTTTCTGCTATTCTCCTCGAACCTACTACGTTTTGCCTGGAGAGAAGCTAAAATTTTTAATCCATAATATCCAGGAAACGCTTTATGTTTAGAGGTCAGCATTCCATATTTTTTTGGGTAAATGTTGTTCATTTCCTATCCGTCATCACGGCAGTGCCTCCATCCAAGCTTGTCAGAATACCACAACCAACAAACTTTTACTAGTTATTATTAGAATGAAGCACATAGTTTTTCTTGCTGCCATATTTGTCTTGTATTAGAAATGTCCATAGGCCCATCATTAATATTTTATTTTCTTTTGCATCTTAATTTGTATGGAAGATGTACATGCCTTTTACATTGACTTTCAAACAAGTAGGCAGTAATGCTCATGTTTTTATGCGTGAGTGACAAGTAGGCAGTAATGCTCATGTTTTTATGCGTGAGTGACACAAATCCAAAATATCTAAAAGCCTGAGTTTATATTAGTTGATAAAAGAACTACATTTTCTTGTTTGCAGGCTTCTATGTGCTGCAGTTGCTTGGCCCTCTCCAGCAGTAGTTTATGCTGGTATAATTCTATCCACTTTAGGTGCAGCGCTACAGAGTCTGACAGGGGCTCCAAGGTTACTTGCAGCAATAGCGAATGATGACATTCTTCCTGTACTTAATTATTTTAAGGCTTATGAAGGGTCTGAACCTCATGTGGCAACTCTGTTTACAAGCTTCATCTGTATTAGCTGTGTCATCATTGGGAACTTGGATGTAATTACACCCACTATCACCATGTTTTTCCTTCTGTGTTATGCTGGTGTGAACTTGTCATGCTTTCTGCTTGACCTCCTTGATGCTCCTAGTTGGCGCCCCCGATGGAAGTTGCACCACTGGAGCCTTTCTCTCATCGGTGCATTGCTTTGTATTGGTATGTTTTCCCATCCTTAAATTTACATTTGATAACTTGGTACTATTAGGTAACAATAACTATAAACCTGCAAAATTGTCTAGAAGTACATATATATGTTATCGTTATTTTTTCTTTAATTAATCGAATAAACATTTACAGGGAAATTATGATCACAAAATGCCAAGTAGCTAAAGAATGCCTATCAAATACTTATGATTTTTTTGCTTATGAAATCATTTAATGTTTTTTTTCTGGGCCAAGATTCTAGGATAGCATGTTTGAGTTGGGGCTGTCAGGCCAAGATTCTAGTATCAGTGAAAATTTGTTGCACTGCATCTCTAGTCCACCTAGTTCTTTTTTATTAATATGATTTTATAGAATCAGCATCCTTAGTGTGCAGTATATTGATAGATGATTTTCCCTCTTAATTTCCAGTTATCATGTTTATGATCTCTTGGACTTTTACTGTGGTCTCCCTTGCCCTTGCAAGCCTCATATACTACTATGTCAGCTTAAAAGGAAAGGCAGGGGACTGGGGGGACGGATTTAAGAGTGCATACTTTCAACTGGCTCTAAGAAGTCTTCGATCAATGGGAGGTACAATTTTTTGCATGGAAATTAAACAAGCCTTGCAGAAATTTAAGCACAATGTGACATATTTCTCTGATTGTTTTCTTGCAGCAAATCAAGTTCATCCTAAGAATTGGTACCCTATTCCTCTCATATTTTGTCGGCCTTGGGGTAAACTTCCAGAAGATGTCCCGTGCCATCCAAAACTCGCGGATTTTGCCAACTGCATGAAGAAAAAGGGCCGTGGTATGTCAATATTTGTCTCAATTATTGATGGCGACTATCATGAATCTGCTGAGGATGCAAAGACAGCATGCCGCCAACTGAGCGCTTATATTGACTATAGGCGCTGTGAGGGCGTTGCAGAGATTATCGTAGCACCCTCAACATCTATCGGTTTTCGCAGCATTGTTCAGACAATGGGCCTAGGGAATTTGAAACCAAACATTGTTGTGATGCGGTACCCAGAAATCTGGCGTCGTGAGAATCTGACACAGATACCATCAACATTTGTCAGCATCATAAACGATTGCATTACTGCTAACAAGGCTGTCGTCATTGTGAAAGGACTAGATGAATGGCCTAATGAGTACCAACGACAGTACGGGACAATCGACCTATACTGGATTGTGAGGGATGGAGGATTGATGCTCCTTCTGTCTCAGCTCCTACTCACCAAAGAAAGCTTCGAGAGCTGCAAGATTCAGGTCTTCTGCATAGCTGAAGAAGATACCGAGGCCGAGGAGCTAAAGGCAGACGTCAAAAAGTTCTTGTACGATCTTAGGATGCAAGCTGATGTGATCGTTGTGACTGTGAAGTCATGGGAAGCAGACCCAGATCGCAGCGGTGGCTCGAAGAAGGATGACCCTGAGGTGTACAGAAGCGCGCAGAGCAGAATCAGAACATACATTTCTCAGCTGAAGGAAGCCGCGGAACGCGAACGCCGGCCCCTGATGGAGGGTGGCAAGCAGGTCGTGGTTGATGAACAGAAGGTTGAAAAGTTCCTCTACACGATGCTGAAGCTGAACGCTACTATCCTTAGGCACTCCAGGATGGCAGTCGTGGTGCTCGTGAGCCTTCCACCGCCACCACTGAACCACCTGGCATACTGCTACATGGAGTACATGGATCTGCTTGTAGAGAACATCCCGAGGATCCTGATAGTTAGGGGATACAGAAGAGATGTCGTCACGCTTTTCACATGATGATTAGATACTCTTGGAAGATTCTAGCTAGCGGCCGGCTTCTTTTGGTTGTACCTTTCTGTCGTTTTGGCTGAGAAGATTATGCTTGGTTCCACTCATTGGTTCCATTGCTGAAGTCAGAGGTCATCGATATGAAGGTTACTTCAGAGTTGCAGGCTGATTCAACATACATGGTAGTACATAACAGTAGCTTCATTTTTTAAGGAACTGAAGTCTCGGACAGAAGTTTACATGCCTATGCACATTTTTGCATGCACCGATTCTTTTGTCTTTCTTGATCTTTTTTCACAGTTAGCTATCGATTTTTTATAGCAATTCAAATTATCTTATTTCTGAGGTTCTACCTTCTGTAAAGTATAGTCAAATTCATTCTTTTCTTTCTTTTTCTTATAGGCGGAAGAAATACATTGATCATACTAACTTTTATTTAGTATATGTAAAAAGTAGGGGTTGAGGGATCAAATAAACTGATATTGCTTTTGAATTACTGCACAGAGCTACGGAGTTGCTATTACTGTATTACGAGCCTGTTTGGTACAACTCCAACTTCTAAATTTAGCTCCAGGAGTTGGGTCTGGAGTGGAGTTGTCGAGCTGCCTAAACCCAGCTCCACAACTTTAGTTTATTTTGTGAGAGAGCTGCACCTAACTCTACTCTTAGTTTTGGTGGAGCTGAAACTGTTTGGCTGAGCTCCAGGTGGAGCTGGAACTGGAGTTGTGCCAAACAAGCCCTATGTATGGCTCGATGCGATCCTGGAATTGGTGCATCAGCTTCATTTCCTTAAATGTTTTTAAAGTTGCTTGAAACTGGTCCATTTTGTTTACCAAAAACTCACATTGGGAACACTTTGCTCAGTCCAAACTATCGTAATCATCGGGGCCTCATCTTTTTGCTTACGCTTATGCTTATCAGCCAAAATTTGAATTTTTGACCTTAAATTTGGAGTTAATTTTGGGGTTTTTTCATCGATGTTTATTTTTCAGCCTTTACTTAAGTAAATTGCTAAGAACATGTAGTTTTATTCACCAATTATTTTTCGCTTACAAATATGTTATTTCGCTTATTGCCCCCATAAGGAACGATGGGTCCGATCGACTAGAAAACCCACATTAGGAGACCGTCATAGGCATAGAGTTAGCTATCGATTTTTTTAAATAGCAATTCAATTTATCTTATTTCTGAGGTTCTACCTTTCTGTAAAGTATAGTCAAATTCATTATTTTCTTTATTTTTCTTATAGGCGGAAGAAATACAATGATCATACTAACTTTTATTTAGTACTCCCTCCGTTTTAAGTTATAAGACGTTTTGACCTTGGTCAAAGTTAAACTACTCTAAGTTTGATTAATTTTATAGAAAAAAATAGTATTATTTTTAACCCAAGACAAATATATTATAAAATTTATTCAATTATAGATTTAATGAAACTATGCTGGTGTTGTAAATATTACTACTTTTTTCTACAGAGATAGCCAAACTTGGAGTAATTTGACTTTAACCAAAGTTAAAACGTCGTATAACCTGAATCTGAGGGAGTATATGTAAAAAGTGGGGTTGAGGGATCAAATAAACTGCTATTGCTTTTGAATTACTGCACAGAGCCACGGAGTTGCTATTATTATGTATGGCTCGATGCGATCCTGGAATTGGTGCATCAGCTTCGTTTCCTTAAATGTTTTTAAAGTTGCTTGAAACTGGTCCATTTTGTTTACCAAAAACTCACATTGGGAACACTTTGCTCAGTCCAAACTCACTTTTCGCTTATGCTTAGGGCCTTATTAGTTGGTGAAATGAAAATTTTTGGGTGTTACATCGGATGTTTGACCGGATGTCGGAAGGGGTTTTCGGACACGAATGAAAAAACTAATTTCATAGCTCGCCTGGAAACTACGAGACGAATCTTTCGAGCCTAATTAAGCCGTCATTAACACATGTGGGTTACTGTAGCACTTATGGTTAATTATGAACTAATTAAGCTCAAAAGATTCGTCTCGTGATTTACATGCAAACTATGCAATTAGTTTTTCTTTTTATCTATATTTAATGCTCCATACATGTGTCCAAAGAATCCATATGATGTTTTTGCGAAAAGTTTTTGGGGAACTAAACGGAGCCTTATGCTTATCAGCCAAAATTTGAATTTTCGACCTTAAATTAGGAGTTAATTTTGAGGTTTTTCATCGAGGTTTATTTTTTAGCCTTTACTTTTAGATCACTAAGAACACGTATATAAAAGTTTTATTTACAAATTATTTTTCATTTATAAATATACCATTTCGCTTATTGTCCCCATAAGAAACGATGGGTCCGATCGACTAGAAAACCCACATTAGGAGACCGTCATAGGCATAGAGGGGATGTTTGGTTGATGTCTAACCTTGCCATAACTAAGTTTGGGTTAGTTGTGGTATGGTGGCACAAGTGTGGCTTAGAAATAGTTGGTCACAAATGCAGCATGCTTAGCTCTAAATTTAAGAAATGATATGTGGATCCCAAAGTTAAGAAAGTGTGGCATAACGCAATTGCGGCAGCGAAACAAACACATATGTCTAATAAACTGTAGCATGACTAAAGTGTGACATGGCAAAATGTGGCAACCAACCAAACAACCCCAGAGTGTTACGCGCCTGCGTTGTAATGTGTGTTTCTCAAGAAAAAAGAAACAAGAAAACCCACACAGACACTGGTGGCCCACGCAACTGGCTTAACGGGCCAAACCTTAAGTTGAGCCTGAAGAAATAGGCCCACTAAAAGAAAGGCCCATTAACATACTGAGCCTGCCTTCGTTGAGATTCGTGCAGCTGGACCAGTGCAATCGGACCATACAAAAGGGCATCAAGGTCAATAGGGTCATTTAGCTCAACACCTCGTCCCCTTATATAACCTTCCCCCATCTCCTCACCTGCGAAAACCCTAGCTCCGCCGCCGCCGCCGTTCAACCGCTCGTCTCCTCCTCCCTCGCGAGCGCTCGTTTCGGTAACCGACGATTCCTCCATTTCCATCGCCTCATTCGATGTCTCTTTGATTTATCGATCTTCGTTTTCTTCCCCTGATTCCTGATTTTTTTCGTTTGTTCGTCGTCTTTGAAGGATTCGGGGGAGATGGCCAAGTCGAAGAACCACACGGCGCACAACCAGTCGTACAAGGCGCACAAGAACGGGATCAAGAAGCCCAAGCGCCACCGCCAGACCTCCACCAAGGGGGTAAGCCAATCCACGCCCTCTTCTAGCTTCCGCGCGTGTGCGCCATCTGCTTTGATAGCCCAGAGTCGCCAAAAGTCTCTAGTAGATTCATGTATCATGTGGCTGGGCAGATGCGGGGTAGGGTAGTTTGTGTTGTTGCGGTAGCTCCTCAAATTGCTGAATGTCTCTTGACAGATTTAGTACATCGGTGAACACGTCTAATTTTGGTAGAAATTTCATAGTGATACCCATTACTATCCGAGGTTTGTTTGCCTTCACGGGACTGCTTCTTATAATCGTGGATCAAGTAGTGATTTTCTGTATGGGGGTACTGTTATATTGTTGTTTTTGGTATTGGTGGGTTTTTAATTTTGAGCTTCTGCGTGGATTACAAGACTCGTTCATGCCTATATACCATCAATTTTTTTTGTCTGGAGTTGTGCTATTTGAAGATAAAATGTTGTAAAATCGATAGCGATTAATGTACTAATAGAAATACTGTAGTCAGTAATATCGTGGTGCTAATAACTTAAGTTGAACTAGTCTCATTAGATTTCATCCCTAATGAGTACTTGCTTTTTGGCGATGGGAAATCGTATAGGGATGGATCTCTCCTTGAGACTTCATCTTGTAGCTAGTACTACGGTGCTCTTGTACTGCATATCATCTTCTGGAAGTTAATGTAATAATTTTGAATAGCCTTGTCTGAATTACTTCATTTTGAACAACTGTCAAACCCAATCTGTTTTTTTTATGTCTAGATGTTATTTGTTTGGGTTCCCTACCTGTCTTACCTTTGTCAAACTTTTAGAGTTAGTGGAATTTGTAGAATTTCTTTATCTTGAATTGTTTATCAATCAATCAGTATTGTGCACAAATCCAAAATTTTTGCCTCCTTTACACTTCTCTCACTGATCTTTTTCACCATGTTTATAGATGGACCCAAAGTTCCTGAGGAACCAGAGATATTCCAGGAAGCATAACAAGAAGAGTGGTGAGGCTGAATCCGAGGAGTAAGATGGAAGTTGTCCTTTCGGAAAAGCATGTCTATTTTGCCAGTTTTAACTCAGCAACCTTTTAGACTATAGTTTCATTAATGATGGAACTTCTATGCTATTCTGTATGATGGAAAGATCTTTTGTTCTACCTGAGCATTGTTGTGATAATGCTTTTTAGCTGATGCTGCTGGATGAATTATATGCTATTGAGTTATGTGCCGTGAATTGTGAATCTACTTGAGGCTACTAGGCATGTGAGGTTACAATCCTCGTTGGTGATGTCAGAATTAATAATGCATAATATTGGAGCGATATCAATATATTGGGTGCTTAGATGCCATTGTGTCATCCACTTCGGTGGCTGCTTGGATGTGCTTTTATGCAATCACCCTGTAAGTTCAACTGTGAAATTAGGGAAAATTGCAAAAACCACCCATAAGTCAATTGAAGTTTGATATTCCACCCCATAAATTATTTATTATTTTTATTGTAAATACCCACCTGCTACTAAGTTTTGTTGTAAAAACCATCTCAATACGCACGTGATTAACCGAATAAGTTCGTTATTGCCGATGTAGGGTTACTACACGCTAAGCTAGCCAAGTCAATTTTATCCAAGTACTTGTATTAGACTTATTTTCCATATTTGATTGATTTTTTTCTTTTTTATGCATATAGCGAAACTGTATGTTTGAGCTCTCATCAACAATTTTATTTGTGGAATCTCATAAAAATATTTCAAGAATACTCTAGAAGTATTTAGTTTTGGTAAAGAACATATTAATGGCTCACATTTTATAAAAACAAGTATTTAGTTTTGGCAAAGAACATATTAATGGCTCACATTTTATAAAAACACGTTGATTCGGTTAAACATGTGTTTACTAGAGTGGTTTTTGCAATAAAATTGAGTAAGGTGGGTGGATATTTACAACAAAATAACTTATGGGGTGAAATGTCAAACTTTGAGCGAGTTATGGGGTGATTTTTGTATTTTTCCCGTGAAATTACCATAGATTGTTTGTTTACACGTGACATGAGGGCAAATTAGTGAGTTCATTAATGAGAAAAATGGTCTGATGTTAGTCCGTTTCAGTTGAATGCGATTGGGTGGAGTGAACTGTGAACGTGAGAAGATAGTATAACCAGATGTACTGTACGTTTCACTATCTAGGAGTATATTATATATTATGTAAATACAGCGTTAAAATTTACTAGCCACGTAAGCCACGCGTTGCGTGGCTCTTAAAGACCCGTTTGAAAATATGTATATATGGCTCAGGCCAACGGTGCCCTACTATTGATATCTCGTTGATGGGCAAATAAATGGTGACACTATAGCTGGTAGGTTTACAGATATCAATCAGCAGTTTTGTCTAAAATCCAATGGCACTGTAAATTGAAAATCAACGTACAAACAGCTTCGGTAACACATTCTGAAAGTAACAGAAGCATAAAGGAAGTAGTATTATATTAATTAGTTCGCTTCATAATATAAGATGCAACTTAAGTATGAGGAATCAGTCAAAGGATAACGTTGATTACAACTTTAACTAATAATCTGCAATCATATATTTTCTCAGCGATCTAAAGTGGTAAGTAAAACCATCCTTATTTTCATTCGTCATTTGATCAGCCTCAAGTGATGTGCACTTGAATATTTAGTATTTAGCAGCATAAATTCAGATATCATTTTAGCCCTTGGAAAAGCATATATGTAAACTGCTGAAACCCTGTCTATGAACAAAACTATTTTTACTGTAATCATAAATGAATACAGTAATTCACTCTCCATGGACAAATTCAGCATGATCATAAATGAACATAGTAGCTTAGCTTATTTTTATGGAAGAACATCAATCAATTGTTGCAGAAAATAGTTGAGCTTCAACTCCTTAAATTAGTATAGCATGTAGGATACAGCAACAAAATCTAGCATTTACCGAAAGAAGTGTAATCCTAAGTTTTCATGCTGCTGGTGGCATGTTACGGTTAGGGAAATACACCCAGGATCATTTGTGCAAACATCAATTGATGCTAGCGACCCAATCCCTCCAAAGATATTGCTGGGATATTTTGGTGTGCTTGCTTGTAATTTATGAAATTGATATTCAGAATTAATTGAAAATTTTATATACACTTCAATGCATCATCTATTGTGAGCTGAGAAGTTAATTTGAGCAACATGTATTGGTCAATTTTAATTTTATCTCTAGTTAAAGTCTATTAGTTACATCCAGCAAACAGAAATTTCTAATTAAATTGAAAGCCATTGGCTTTAATCTTATTTGGCTTAAAGGGTAACCTTCCCTGGTTTCTGTTCAAGCAATTTATCAAGCACGAAACGTGCAAAAACTATATATCAAGATGGGACAACTAACCAAATGTTTGCATACTGGCTTTGGCCATCTTCACACACCGTACTTTAACACCGACTCGCAACGAATTACCTCAGATTCTAGCATGCTATTCTAGCTGGTACACAAGCTTTACTGGGCTCTAGCCTCCAATGCTGCCCATGTCGCATCTTGAAGGGCGATGGCCAACCACGCCTCGAGCCCGTCGTCACACGTATGTCGCCAAGAAGGAGAGCAAGGGCAACGCATGATGTGGAGGGGGAAGCCGATGCCTTTGGTGTGGAAGTGGGGGTCAACTTCGATGGCTATCTCCGATCTGCCGTTGTGGATCTGATTTTACAGCACCAAACTCGCCTATAGGCAGCGGCAATAGCTGGGAGGAGGCATGGCTAAGGCGCTCGAGCTCACTGGCGAGGTGGTGCAGGATCTAGTGTGCCTATTCTGGGACGCGGTCGAAACTGGTGATCCACTTCATGGTGGCGGTGGGAAGGTTGGTGGGCTGGCGGCGGCGGTGTGGCCGTGTGCAGTGAAGAGACAAGGAGGGGAACATTCTCTCCTCTTTTTTTTTTGTTACCCAGGGACTTCCATTTTTTTTTTGTTACCCAGGGACGTGGAAGGATGTATTTGAAAAAGAGCTTTCTCAAAGGATCCAGAAGAAATTTTGCAAATAGAGATATCTGACGGATGATAATGTCTGGAGAATGTACTGACGGATGATAATGTCTGGAGAATGTATTGAACGGTCCTTGATTTATCGATGACGTGGCCCAATCAGATTGCAAGAAACTTTAGTTCTTTCAATATTTTAGATACCCGCGGGTCTAGTTGAAATGCGTGAACATTCACCGGCTTAACACATTCGGATTTGTGAATTAAAATTACTCAGATGCATAGAAAAAGTCAAATAGCCTGCAAATTTCAACCATTACAAGGTGCCAACAGATCCGCAGATCCGCATCGGTCGCTGAACATCGAACGCTGCCATGCCACCAAACAACATATAGCTTTTGTTCTCGATCAACAAACCAAGCATGACATGCCAATATTTACAAACATCAAACTAGCAAGCTCTGCATTAGTTGAGCTTTATTACCAGTACTAAGTATATTACTTAGCAACTATTATTTTGGCCTCTTGACAATCAGCACTGGGCATTTGCAGTTCTGCGCACAGTGATTGCTCACGCTTCCCAGGAACGCCCTGCATTGTTCGCACCCACGTAAGTATACATGCCAAAAAACGAAAATGAGGCACTCAAACTGAATGTATAAATACAAGCTGGATTAACAGATGCCCAAGGTAAATGATGCAATTACACATGCACCAGATTTTGATTAAGATGAATTTCAGAGGGGCAGGCTTATCATGGAGGGTCAACAAACATCCTTGTCATTTGCTGTCCCTAATCCTTATCCAGAATGATAATGAAATCTTACTCGAAGAAGATTAGATACATGGAATGGTGAGTGCGTGGCAATCAATCAATCAATTTGCAGTAGTACCTCTGGATGAGGCCGTATCCATGGGTGCCCATGACCAGCAGATCGGCGGCCATCTTCTCGGTGGCGTCGCAGATGACGTCGCGCGGGTCCCCGCTCTCCACCATCGTCTCCACCGTCACCTGCACCCAACACCACCGCATCATCGCATCGCATCTTTGAAGTAGTCGCAATTGAGTGATCGGTGGCGTTCTTACGTGAGGGAAAGCGGCGCAGATGTGCTTGGCCTTGCCCACCGCCGCGGCGGAGACGGCGGCGGCGTACTTGTCCATGCTCGCCATCACGTCCGAGGTCATCATGTACCCTGCAACAACAACAGATCCAGGTGTTGGCCTCGATGAATTAGGAGCTGATGAGAGCGGTCACAAAAGCGTGTTGTGTCCAGTGATTTCGATCGATCGAGGTACCTGAGCTGTCCATGGCGGCGTAGACGGGGCGGGGGCGGCGGGCGTGGAGCAGCACGAGCGTGTCGCCGCCGGAGGAGGAGACGACGTTGGCGAGGCACCAGGTGAGCGCGTGCGTGCTCTCCTCGCTCTCGTCCACGGCCACCACGATGCGTCGCCCGGGAGCCTCAGCCGCAGCAGCAGCAGGGTCAGCAGTAGCGGCCGCAGCAGCAGCGCTAGCACCATCCTCGGGAACAGACGACGCCATCACTCTCGACAGCAGCTAGCTAGACTCCCGAGTCTTCAACCTAGCTAGAGCGAACGAACGATGAGAGATCGATGAATCGGGCAATTGGTTGGAGAAGTGGAGAGATGCGGACACCGAGTCGATCTGCCGATTTAATGGAGGGAAGATGACGATGAGCCGTCACGCTTGCCGATCTGGTGGCGCGGTGGGCGTCGTCCTTGCATTGGGTTTTGGCGAGGCAGCCGCCGGTTTTCGGGTTTGTGGCATTTCTCCGGATTCCTGGAATGCCCATGGGTGGCGCCGGGGGGAAACAACCGGAGGAAAGGGGTATTGTTGTCATTTCGGTGGTCGAGACTAGCACTTTGGGCCGCAGCTGTTTCGGCTGTCCAGGATTTCCGAGTTCCGCGGCAGTGGAGGCAGCAGGGTTGCGTTGCATGTGTGGTCTGGTCAGAACCGGATAAGAGCGAGTTTTATAGTAGAGCTGGGCTACCTCTTTTAATTTTAATTATATAATTTATAAATTAATTATAAGGTAATATGTATAAAAAACAAGCACAATAATGTGGTAGTAGCTCCATCATATGGAGGAGAGAGAGGGTAGGAAAGAGAGAGAGTGAGCCGACGATGAATTTATCACCCGGCTGCACGTGCTGCTCGAGGAAACTGTGGGGCCCGCCAAGATGGAGAAGCAACCTGTTCACGCTTCCTTATTGATCTGTCGTGGTCAGCGCCCTTGTCCACCACGGCCACCAAACTGCTACCCTAGGCCTGGTCGGCGTCGTCTCCTACGGCCACCGGACCGTCGTCCTTGGCTTGATCGGCACCGACGCTCGCATCCACTCCAACCGCCGCTGTCTCTTGCATTCGCCAGATAGCTGAGCTCACCTAGTCCAGTAGCCGTCGTCTCTCCCATCCGTTGGGCAATCATCCTCATTCAGCCCGACCGTCGGCGTATCCCACGTCCACCACATAGCCCAACCGGCATCTCCGCATCCGCTGCACAACCCGGCCATTATTGTCTCTCGCGTCCGCCGCTGCCGTCTCCCACATCTGTTGCATGGTCGCCGCCGTCTTCTGCCTCCGCCCCGTCTTTCGTCGTCATCGGCCCTCACAATTACCGGAGTCATCGAATCGAAGGTAAAGAAAGAAGAAAGAGAAGAAGACATTGTAACTTACGTGTATCAACAATATAACTTATATATGACTTTCAAAAACCCCATGATAACATGATATTTGCGTGAACCAAAGGTCGTGGGACCGAATCCCTTCACATGCGTATCTTGTAATTTTTTTCCTCATTTGCCCGAATTATGAAACAAATCTAACGATTTAAAAGTATATTATAATTGTATACATAGTTACATTACGATTATATTATATTTACATTTGATAAACTTTTTTAAAAAAATTGTCGATAAATATGTAGCAAAACCAAAACAAATATATATTTGTTATGTTTGTGGAACTAGCTAGTGAGCTGTCGACAATTTTTGAGGTTCAAAATTTTCAACAAAATTTGGGTGTAAACAGGATCTGTCATCAACTATTATAGGAAAACGGTTCCGCACTAGTATAAGCCACGAATCTTAGCGCCCAAGCTGATTGAACGCAAAAAAATTGGCCAAACACGTATAAAGGAAAAATAACTTTTAAATTCAAAAGTAATACGCATGCTCCTGAAAAAATTGTAAATTCTAATTTTACATAATGTAACTACTTTGTAACTAGGATGTAATTGTTACATCGTTATGTAACTACTCTGTAACTAGAGTGTAACTGCTATGTAACTAGGGTGTAATTACTCTTTAATTAGGGTGTAAGTATTATGTAAATATATTAAAGCATGATGACAATATCTACAGGACGCTTCGACAAAAACTAGGTACGAAAACATTCAAATTTCTTTAGAATTTGTATCCAATACCATGGCACCAACGTCCGCAAGATAATAGAAATATAATAGGATTATTCGGAAAATTAGGAAAAATATAAGGATGTACTGTGTGATTACAGCGCATGTAACTATGTAGTTACCGTCTAAGTATCATGTAACTATATGCTTTCAACATTAATACTTGACCTGGGCTTAGTGGTTGGGACGCTGCCCTAGTTAAGTAGAGGGGACATGATTAGGGGTGAAAACGGGTCGGATTCGGGCAGATCTTAACCTTTCTATAACCTAACCCATATTTTATAATCGGAATTAGGTCAGACATGGATAGTGTCGAATATGAATATAAACTTGGAGAATGTCGAGCAAAAATATGGAACAAATACGTATCAAAATGGATACACACACTATCGGTTGCAGATATTTATTCAGATATCAAGTCGAAGCAACAATCTTATATATCACATAGGCAATAACCATTTAACAATTCCATATATCCATAATACAATTATATTACACCATTAGAACCTTAAACATGGAAGGTTGATGACAGATTATAATTTGGGTCCGAATACAATTACGAAGCAAATCTAACGATTTAAAAGTATATTATAATTGTATACATACTTACATTACGATTATATTATATTTACATTTGATAAATTTTTAAAAGAAAATTGTCGATAAATATGTAGCAAAACTAAAACAAATATATATTTGTTATGTTTGTGGAACTAGCTAGTGAGTTGTGGACAATTTTTGAGGTTCAAAACTTTCAAAATTTTCAACCAAATTTGGGTGTAAACAATGTCATAGTAGAACCAATACATAGTACAAAAAAGTGCCTCATAAAAACATAATACGGGTAATATCCGTATAGTTATCCGGGTAATACCCGAATTTTTTACCAGATAATCTATATCCGTCAGATACTACGTTCCCGAACCTGATCTCGTATCGCTAAAAAAGACTCATTCGGATTTGATATCCATGAAAAGTCTCGAGTACACGAATTTTTGATCTGAATTTATCCCGAAATAATGTGGCCGGGCTGGCGGGCGGGAAATACCCACCCCGTTTTCACCCCTAGACATGATTTACTCACTGTCTACCGCACTGCGTTTTTAGCAATTCCGTACGCATCTCACACGCACGAATCTCGGAGCAATCTGAGGGCTGAAAAATAGACATTTCCCCAAGAAAACTATCGCAAGTTTTGTAGAAATTCCATTTGTTATTAGGAATAAGTTCACTTCAGGTCCCTCTATTTGTCGCCCAGTCCGAAATTCATCCCTGGACCACAAAACCGGATACAATGCATCCCCTAACTTACAAAACCATGCAAACAACATCCCTCGGCAGTATTGTGCCCGTTTTTGGCTGACATGACGCCTACGTGCCTCCTTTGACTTGGTCTTCATCATACGTTGCATTGACGTGGCGCTTACGTGACAATTCAATACTAGAAAAATAATTAAAACCGTGGGACCCACATGTCAATTTCACATACAAAGTAATAAAACATAGTGGGGCCTATGTGGCCCCACATATCTTCCTCACTAATCCTATTATCATCTATCCCCTCTCTCTCTCTCTCTCTCTCTAGCCGATGGAGCGGGACGGGCGGCAGCTGGAGTGGGGCGGCGGCTGGAGCAGACGATGGGCGGCAACCGGACTAGGTTGGCGGCAAGAAGGGCGCCAAGGGCCAGGAGCCGCTCTCCTCCTCCTCCTCCTCATGGGTTGCGGGCAGGCAGATGCCGGCGGCGGCCTCGGTGGGGAGCCGCTCTCGCTGACGGTGGCCGTGGGAAGGGAGATTTCGGCGGCGGCCCTCGGCGGGGATTCGCTCTCACTGACGGTGGCCGTGGACGGGTAGATGCTGGTGGTGGCCTCAACGGGGAGACGCTTTCACCGACGGTGGTCACGAGCGGGGAGATGGCGGCGGTGTTGATGACCAAATTTGGTAACTCCATGGGTTGGATTCAAAGTTAGGAACGAAGCCGATTTTGGAAAAAGCCCGTTTGGGAAAGCAGAGTAAATGTCGACTATGAACAGCATCGGCTGCCACGCAAATCGGCTACAGTAATATCGGCTAGGCACCGGGTCCGACGAAGTCAAGCCATCGCCGCCAATCTCAGGAAGGATGGCCCCACAGCCGTCGTCGGGTTGGATGGAGACCTCCACAACTATTGCTACACAAGGATAGGGGTCCTAAGAAGGGCAATAGTATCTATTAATTAGCACATTTTCTAGTTTCCTTAGAGATATTTTTAGTAAGGGTCCACTTGAAGGACTCATTCGTATTTTAAATTATGTTAGATATAAGAGCCGTGTCCAGCAAGGATCTATCATGTACCTCGGGTATAAATATGGCCCGACCCCATGTAATCAAGAGACGACAGTTCAATACACTTCGGCGCATCGCCACCCTTTTCTACTTTGTTTCGATGAGTTTTTTCTTTCGAGTTGGGCTGCATCGGGTTCGATCTCCGACGAAGAGTTAAATCTTGTCATGGCGGCTTGCGTTCTCGGGATTAGTGCTTACATCTTCATGACACTCTAATCCTGTCTATGCAAGCTGCCGAGTTATCATATATATTGCATAATCTAGATTGATCTCGCCTTCTAAGCTTCATCAGTTAGCCTCTATCATCGAAAACAGCCGATAAGCTTAGGCTTCGATATTAAGCTAGATTATGCGGTATATCTACCGTCTCGAATGAGCTTTCATCGGTTTGTTTAGATCTTATGTTTCTCTTCACGCTTAATGTTGCATCGGTTAGGTTCGATCTATTAAGTACCATCATGAAACGTTTCATCTAATCTTTTCTTTGACTGCTAATAGAGATAGTATCAGGGTTTCAGCCGATCTTACCTGATTTAGTCATTTTTTCTTCCTTCTTTTTGGTTCTAAATCGTCTAAATCCGCCCCTTATATCAAGATCCCATCCTTTCGAAGTATATTAAGCTTCCCAATCGCTAGATTGGCCTTAGCTTCTTATATTTCGTCTGCGCTGGTATCTTGGTATAAGGTGGTATCGGAGTACTAGCCCATACAGGTTAGGTCTACCCGGCCCATCGGCTATGCTGTGAGCGCGCATAATCCCTACTTTGGAGCATGTTTAGATATAGAGCGATTTATACTGTCTCGATGCTACCATCGATCTATCCCAGTCGCTCTATCTAAGCAGGGGCGGACGCAGGACAAAAATGGACTGGGGGCATCTATATAAGAGTTATCCAAGGTTTAGAACATACACACCGTTTTACTTCATAGTATACTCCATATATATATATATATAT